CACATATACAATTCGATATGAACTGAAGAGCCGCATGAAACTAGGCAAAGAGCCGCATGCGGCTCGAGAGCCGCGGGTTGGCCACCCCTGGTCTAGATTATGCTTTTTTAAGAGCGGTTTAATGACTGCAGTTTTCAGGGCATGTGGAAAAACACCTGAGTGAAGAGACTTGTTTACTATATGAAGTAGATCTGAGGCCATGCAAGGAAAAACATCTTTGAAAAATCCTGTTGGAATAACATCAAGGCAGCAGGAGGAGGATTTCAGATGTTGAATAATGTCCTCTAGATTTTTATCATTAATCTGATGGAACTGTGTCATGGTGTTTGAATTGATATCAGGTGGACACAGAGACAACACATTTGCTGTACCTGATGCAGAGGCACTGACTGCTTGTCTGATTTTCTGAATGTTGTCAGTGAAGGAGGCAAAGTCATTGCAGGCCCTGGTGGATAGAAGTTCAGAGGCTACTGACACCGGGGGGTTTGTTAGTCTGTCGACGGTAGCAAACAAGGCACGTGCGTTGTTTTTGTTTTTGGCAATGATGTCAGAGAAGAAAGACTTTCGTGCGTTTTTCAATTCCAAATGATAAAGGCCAAGTCTCTTTTTATAGATTTCAAAATGAACCTGGAGATTTGTTTTTCGCCACCTACGTTCAGCTTTTTGACGCTCTTTTTTCTGCTCTCACGGTCATGGCCTTTCTCCATGGAGATATTTTCTTGCCAGACACTTCCTTTACCCTAGTTGGCGCAATGGCATCTCTAACATTTTTTATTTTTGAATTAAAATGATCTACTAGCTCATTTACTGAGATGTTACCAGGTGCAAGTGTGGAAGAAACATTCTGAGTAAACATTTCCCTAGTGTTTTCAGTTAAATATCGCTTTGTGGCTACCTCTTTTTGAACATTTGTGTGAACAGAAATAGGAATGATCAGAAAGTGCAACATCAGTCACCACAACCTCAGAGATATTCAAACCCTTTGAGATCATTAAGTCCAGAGTGTGCCCCTTATTGTGCGTGGGCTCCGTCACATGCTGAGTCAGTCCATAGTTATCATGAAACCAAAACAGTTCTTTAGCCCCTCTGTCCTGGGGGTTGTCAACATGGATGTTAAAATCACCAACAATGACTAGACGGTCAAAGTCAAAACACACTATAGACAGCAGTTCAGTAAAGTCATCAAAAAAAGCTAAAATAAGCTAGTAAAGAGCACAGCTGAACTCCTGCAGCCCTGGGGGGCCCCTACATCGGTTATGATGGCAGATGACAGGGTTTTGTTAACCTTCACAAGTTGCTCTCTACTGGTGAGGAACGAGGCATACCAGTAAATCAGGTATGGATTTACTTCCATTTTGGCCATTTTTGACACCAAGATGTCTGCTTGTATTGTGTTGAATGCTGCTGAGAAGTCGAGGAAGAGGGCTCTTGCATAGGTGTGACGTTTATCTAAATGTTTAGTAATGATAGGAACCAGAGTAGCAACAGTACCACCCCCTTGCTTATAGGCAAATTGGTATGGATCAAGTATGTCTTGTCCGTCACAATAGGTTTAGCTGAAGAAGTCATTCCTGTCATGGTTCTCATGGTGTCCCGCACTTTTTTGGGGTCTTTGGCTTTAAAAGCATTTCCCAAAAGCTCTCTGTGTGCCAGTTTTGATTCTCTCAATTTGACTTTCAGTTCTTTCTCTGTCTGTTCAAGTGCTCCATAGTCTTTGTTTTTGAAAGCTATTTTCCTAGTTTTTATAACTTTTTTTAATGTCCTTAGTCAGATATGATTTATTACTTGGATAGATGTCTATTTCTTTAGTGGGAACACAGAAGTTAATATGGTCTTTGGTAACAGTAGTTATTTCATCTAGTGAACCTTCCTGAAAAATGTCCCAATCTGTCCAATCAAAACAGGCTTTCAACTGTTCCCTTCTTTCATTTGTCCATGTCCTTATTACTTTCTTTTCTGGTTGACTTCCCTTCAGTTTGGTCTTATACACTGGTATCATATTCACAACATTATGATCAGAGTTCAGTATTGGTGGTCTGTATTTAGACACATAGGCTCCTTTATCATTAACAAAGCATTTGTCCAGGATATTGTCTTTTCTGTTGTGATCCCTAACATACTGCTGGAACCCAGGTAACAGTCTCCAGGCGACATTGCTTCATGTCCCCGAGCGCTATTGCCGGTGCATCGGGGTGGCTGAGTTGCAGCTCGTGAACACAGTGACCTCTGCCGCTGGGAGGCACGTAAACAACAAACAGTAAAATACACACCAATTCTCTAGGCAGATAAAAGGGTCTTAACGTCATGCCGAGAATTTCTACGTTGGGATTGCAGGTTTTACATTTGACTGAGTATGATCGGCACCACAGATCATTAATATACACACAAATATCGCCTCCTCTGGATTTCCCCGAGTTCGCATCCCTGTCTGCTCGAACAAGGGTGAGTCCGGGTACTTCAAAGAGAGATTCAGGCATTGTAGATTGTAGCCAACTTTCCGTGAAACATAATAAAGAGGCCTCAAGAAATTCATGACAGTACCTCGTGTATGTCCTTAGTGTGTCCACGTTGTTGCTCAATGAGCGCAGGTTTGTGAGAATGATGATAGGGCGGTGGTGGCGAAGTCGATAGGGACTTGGCTTGGCAACTGGAAGGTCACCAGTTCAAGTCCCGGCAAAACTAAGTGCTACCGAGGTGTCCCTGAGCAAGGCATCGTTCCCTACACTGCTCCCCGGGCGCCGTTCAAAATGGCAACACACTGCTCCTAACACTAGGATGGGTAAAATGCAGAGAAACAATTTCCCCACCGGGATTAATAAAGTATATCAAAATCAAAAATAAAATCAGGTTTTATTTTGGTCGAGCCAAAGTGCTGTACATATAATAATTACCTTACAGTAAGGACACTATACAGTAAATACAACAGCACAATTTGTGCAGAATATCAGTATGAGAAAACGACACCCTCTGTCCTTAGACGCTCACATCGTACAAGGAAAAACATCCAGAGAAAAACCCACAGTTTAAAGGGAAAAATAGGAGAAACCTCAGGGAGAGCAACAGAGGAGGGATCCCTCTCCCAGGACGCTCAGACGTGCAATAGATGCCGTGTGTAAATCAAAAAGATAATACATTTTACAGCGTAGGTAGACCAAATGTTTGGAAATGCATATGTCTATAATAAGAAGATGAATCCACGGGGATGTCAACAATCCTGTGGGAGCCATCAGGGAAGTAGTATAGTGAGAGTCAGGCAGGACCGCAGAGACAGGTTTAGCCACGACCCAAAGTCCACGATTTAATCCAGAACTGAGGATAGAGGATCCAGGGCACAGGACCACAGCAAGAGGATCAGCCTCGACTCCGGATCCCGACGTAGGTATAGACACAAAAGAAAAAGAAAATTTGGGGGAGGCTCGGTTAATCGGAACATACAAAGACACAGACAGGGATTGGTGAGGGATAAGGAGGTATGCTGTGACTACGGCATAACACTCCCCTGCCTTGAATAAGGACCCCTCTGCAAACCTGTTTCCCTCCAATAAAACCTTGTGAGGTCATGGAGGGAAAAGGTTTTGGATAAAGAAAAAATAGAAAGAGTAGTAATAACCTTAGTTTTAAATATAAGATCCAAGTTTTTAGGATTTAAGTGAAAGATCAAAAACCAAAATGTAGGTGAAGAGGCACAGCGTATCTGCGTCAAAGCACTCTCATTAGGTCATTAAGGAAGGTCTTAAGCGTACTCTTAAAACGGATTGGCTGTCGGCCGCCCGAACACAAACTGGAAGCTGATTCCACAAAAGTGGAGCTTGATAAGAAAAGGCTAGAAGGCCAGAGAGAAGATGTGAGTTTTAAGTGTTGATTTAAAAAGTGTGTGTGTGTGTGTGTGTGTGTGTGTGTGTGTGTGTGTGTGTGTGTGGTGTGTGTGTGTGTGTTGTGTGTGTGTGTGTGTGTGTGTGTGTGTGTGTGTGTGTGTGTGTGTGTGTGTGTGTGTGTGTGGTGTGTGTGTGTGTGTGTGTGTGTGTGTGGTGTGTGTGTGTGTGTGTGTGTGGTGTGTTGTGTGTGTGTGTGTGTGTGTGTGTGTGTGGTGTGTGTGTGTGTGTGTGTGTGGTGGGTGTGTGTGGTGTGTGTGTGTGTGTGTGTGTGTGTGTGTGTGTGTGTGTGTGTGTGTGTGCGTGCGCTAATGAAGGTAAACACAGTGAAGGCACAGCTCTTTGTAGCTGGTGCTGCTCTTCTCAGATTCTGCTGAGTTACACTGCCTCCTGGTGCTGCAGAGATTTCATGAAGTGAAGGAGGTTCTTCTTCTATAAAACAGCTGTGGGCAGCAGATACTGTGAGTCACAGACATGAATACATAGGTCAAGGCAGACTGGTTCACAGACTCTCCTGTTTTGCTGATCCGGTGCTTGAACAAAGAACTCTACACCCCTGGCCGAAATGTCCCTAAAATGAAGTCCGAGTTTGAAATATATCTCAAATAATGTATGTATTTCCCCACATAAACATAACAGTCTGCAATGAAACGGTTGTCTCCTGTGCTCTCCACTTCCTACTTTCTCCTGCGAACAAGATTTTCTCTCTTTTTTTTTTCTTTCATTGCCCTCTAGGGGCTTCTTACAATACAAATGCAAATATTTTATTTAAAAAAAGTAAAGTCCTTTCGAGTCATCTGTCTCAAGCCTAAGCCAAGTCTCAAGTCATGAATACCAAGTCAAAGTCAAGTCGAGTCTTTAACCAATGTTAGTCAAGCAAGTCTCAAGTCAAAAAATATGCTATGCGAGTCAAGTCAAGTGACTCGAGTCCCCCACCTCTGGTATATACTTTGGTTAGAATATTGCTGTATTAATGTATCAAATATAATACAAATATAATAAACACAAACGGTTGATAAGTAGTATTTTGTTAACTCAAGGTTTATATAAGTGAGTTTTTATTGTGTTAACTTGTGTATTTATGCTTTTTAGATTGACTTTCTCTCTTTCTCTGTCTGTCTGTTCTAGAAACTGAAAGGAAGAAAGAGACGTCACAGCTGTCAGCAATGTGACAAATCTTTTTCAACATCTGGAGATTTAAAGATCCACCTGCCTATACACACAGGAGAAAAACTGTACAGGTGTGAAGAGTGTGGGAAAGCTTTCACTACATCAGGTGCTCTCAAATCACATCAACGTATTCACACGGGAGAAAAACCTTACAGGTGTGAAGAGTGTGGGACAACTTTCACTACATCAGGTGCTCTCAAATCACATCACCTTATTCATACTGGAGAAAAACCATACAGGTGTGAAGAGTGTGGGAAAACTTTCACTACATCAGGTGCTCTCAAATTACATCACCGTATTCACACTGGAGAAAAACCATACAGGTGTGAAGAGTGTGGGAAAACTTTCACTACATCAGCTCATCTCAAATCACATCACCATATTCACACTGGAGAAAAACCGTACTGGTGTGAAGAGTGTGGGACAACTTTCTCTAGATCAGATGCTCTCAAATCACATCACCGTATTCACACTGGAGAAAAACCTTACAGCTGTGAAGAGTGTGGGAAAAATTTCACTACATCAGGTGCTCTCAAATTACATCACCGTATTCATACTGGAGAAAAACCATACAGGTGTGAAGAGTGTGGGACAACTTTCTCTAGATCAGGTGCTCTAGAATCACATCACCGTATTCACACTGGAGAAAAACCGTACTGGTGTGAAGAGTGTGGGAAAACTTTCACTAGATCAGATGCTCTCAAATCACATCTTCGTGTTCACACAGGAGAAAAACCGTACTGGTGTGAAGAGTGTGGGAAAATGTTCACTAGATCAGATGCTCTCAAATCACATCTTCGTGTTCACACAGGAGAAAAACCATAGTGGTTTTAAGAGTGTAGGGCCCTGATTTAAGCTTATTTTGTTTTTTCACAGTTTATAAAAAGCAACTCCCATCTATTGGCCATGTGTTTGGTGATCCTTTTTTCCATTACTGATCCCATCCCAACAGCGCCATCTGTTGACTTAACATCAGAATTGACAGGCATAATGTTCACTGTTCCTTTAAGTTTCGTTTTCTGGCTGTCCGTCTGCTGACAGGGCGCTGATTCAAACAGCTGACATTATTGCAGCATTCAATCCAAGCCATTGTCCAATACAGCTTATGTATCCAATATACAATCCAGTTTTAGTGCTGCACATACCCGGCCGCTTTCCCAGCCTTGGTTCTCGGCGTCTCCTTTCACTGTCTTGATGAGCGAAGGTGGTGACCATCTCCAGCTGATTGTGGTGTGTTGTCCAGCTGATCCGGGATCACAGTGTCAGTTGTGAAGTAATCCAATTGTTTGTCCGGTGAAAACGATCCTTAATCCAATGCATTATGTGTCTTATATTGTTCAGTTTCACTCATAGAGTACGATTCTACTTAATGTAATGGCAATTTAAATGTTCCTGTGTCCTATATCTTTATGCCATTACTTCATAGGAGGGTTTAGTGTGATCCTGACGCACACACAAACATATGAAGTTCTGGTCTTTTGCTGCAGTTTTAGAATGATGTTTTATTGCTTTACATACCAAGGTTAAAGTACACTGTGTCAATAGTTGTAGTATGAGCATCTGCCGGGGCTGGCCGTCTGGTAGAATCGGTATGCTCTTCCTCCTGTGTCAGTAAAGTGGAACTTCTGTGTGAACTATTCATATCTTAAACTGCACTCTAATTTTAAATTCATGTACTTTTTTATTCATGTATTTTTTCTTTTAATGTTTTTAAAAGCCTTTGTCTGAATGTCTTTCATTTTTGTAAAGCACCTTGAATTGCCTTGTGTTTAAAGGTGCTATATAAATAAACTTGCCTTGCCTTGCCTTGTGTCCTCTTCCTCTCCTGTCACCTATGACCCCTTTTATACACCCGGTGCAGCTAAACCCCGCCACCAAGTGTTCAAAAATAATGTTGCACTATACATATAAATAAGGTAAACTGAGACACCAACAACGCCCATAAAATGGCTCCTACAAATAGTGTGGGAAAACTTTTTCTTAAAGTTCATGAGCGAGTTTCACTGTTCATTAATCTGCTTCATGAATCTAGAACATATTTACGATGTTTTCAGTTTGATTCTATTCTCTTGTTGAAATGATCAGACTACCAAAAATAAAATGGCCTTAGAAATAGACTTGCAACCCTGCATATTTGTTGTGTTTTGCAGCATATTATAAACATGTCATTCCCTTATTTTTAAATACCACAGGTTGTGTAGTGATGTATTTTAGGTGTACTGTCCACATCGCAGACCTGAAGTCGTGCAGTCAATGTATGTGAAGTGTACAGGACCTTGGTCTCTGAGACTCAAAAAAGCCTTTCTCGCCTACCTGTCCACTTTGCATACCGGAGATCCTGCAGTCATTTCTCAAAGATGGTGTGGCATATAGGGAGGTGCAATCTCCTGATGATATAGACTGTATTATTGTGGAAATCTGCAACCAAACAAGATAACATTAGGATAATCAATTTATACAACCCATGTCCAAATCTAACCACTGATATATTTAAAGAAATAGCAGGCAGTAAACATAGGAAGGAAGTTTGGTGTGGTGATTTCAATGCACACAACAGTCTATGGGGCAGCAACCATACAGACAGTAACGGAAATATAGTGGAAGAAATGCTGCAGGAAAGAACACTAGTATACCTTAATGATGGACATGGCACAAGAATAGATGTACTCAGGGGGAAAGTCTCATGCCTGGATCTGACATTAGTGTCAAACTGTTTGGTTCATACATGCGAATGGCTTGTTTTGAATAACTCCACTGTAGGAAGTGACCATTATCCAGTGCTTACTAAAATGAATGATAATGTGTATATATGCAGGAAGGAGGTTTAATAACCAGGTGGTGCTTTGCTAAAGCTGATTGGGGGAAATGTAGGATATGGTCTGAGGAGTCGGTACACCTGCTAACATCAGAGGGAAGCATAGAGGTCATTACAAGCCAAATAACGCAACATATACTAAATGCAGCAGAGAACAGTATACCCAAAACAACAACCAAGGGTAGGAAGAAAGTGGTGCCATGGTGGAATGAGGAATGCAGCAGGGCTATTAAAGAGCGAAATAATGCATTTAGAGAATTAAAGCAAAACATGACACAAAATAATGTTCTAGAGTTTCAAAGGAAAAGGGCAGCTGCTTGAAGGACAATCAAATATACAAAAAAGAGAACATGGAGAGAATTGTGTTCTACCATTGGCAGAGTAGTAACATTAGGTGATGTCTGGTCCATTTTTAAGCAGATGAGTGGGAAAAGGAAATCCATTAAAATTCCAGCTTTGGTTGATGGGGAGAGGCTGGCAGTGACAGATAAAGAGAAGGCAGATATGTTAGGAAGGACACTTGCAGCAGTACATAGTGGGGAGCATCTCAGTGATATTCATAGGCAGCAAAAACAGCAGTTACTAGCAGAGAATGAAAACGTGAAGGAGAAGAGACAGGATAATAGGTCAGCTCTGGATGTGGAATTAGTAAGAGTGAATAATGATGTGGGAAAAACATTGAAAATGAAAGAGATAATGGCAATAGTGTACTTTGACATTGAAAAGGTGTATGACTCTATGTGGAGTGAGGCATTACTGATCAAATTGAGTAGAATGGGTATTGGAGGGAGAATGCACAATTGAGTAGGGCCTTTTTAACAGACAGGACATTTAGAGTAAAGGTTGGAGCAGATATTTCCAATTATTTAGAAATAGAAAATGGTATTCCCCAAGGGAGTGCAGTCAGTCCAATATTATTTAACATCATGATTAATGAGATATTTACATGCTTAGACACATGCATCCAATCGGCTCTATACGCAGATGATGGGGCTATTTGGATGAGGGGAAGAAATGCCCCATACGTAATGGAGAATATAGCTAGAGCGATTAAAAAGTGGAGAGGTGGTCATATAACTGGGGATTCAAAATGCCAGAAAGCAAGTCATGCATGCTACATGATATTTACAAACAAACGCAAGATTGATGGCCAACAGCTAACACTATATGATCGTCCAATGACAAAGGTGAATGGGGGAGTCTCTTTGTTGTCAACAAATTAAGATACAAGGTCAATGGAAAGGGAATAATTCCACAAAGGAACCAGCAGTAAAGAGGAACGGAAAAGCAAGATGTATAATGTTTATGTTAACTTCGAACAAATGTAATGCTTATCATCCTGTGTCCTGTGTGTGAAATTAGTGTTTAGCGCTTGTCAGGGTAAAAAAAATTCCAGGGCGTTTCACCTAAAGCAAGAGAACTTACAAGAAACGGGAGGATGCTTTTATAAGATAGCACTTCTTTGTTTATCGGCTCGCTGTTGCTCCACACACACACACATACACACACACACACACACACACACACACACACACACACACACACACACACACACACACGCACACACACACACACACACACACACGCTATAAAAACAGATACATTCACACATTTACAAAGAGCTTTATGTAGCTGTGGTTGAAGACTGTCACTATAAGAAACATGGAGATGAGAGAGTATGCCAAATCACCAGCTAATGAAAGAACAAATAGACGGGCACAAAGAGGTCCAGGTCAGAATACTTTTAAAGTTTTACTTTTTTTATTAATTTTTTTTATCTCTGACCCTTTTACATTTGTACTTTAGATGGCAGCTTGTAACTGTTTTTCCATGTGTATAATTTATTTGGGTTTCGCAAGCTTCCTTAACCCTTAGATGCATAAGTGGGTCTTTTTTGACCCGGTGAGGTGAAGTGTCTTTGTAATTACATTTTTTTATCATTTCATATTCCAGCTATTCCTCAAAAAAAATGTTTTGGATATCATGCCATTGATTACATTACATTACATTGCATTTAGCTGACGCTTTTACCCAAAGCGACTTACAATAAGTGCGTTCGACCAACAAAATACAACCTTGAAGAAAACAGAATCATATAAGTACATCAGGCTTCATAGAGCTAAAACATTTCAAGTGCTACTCAACTGGCTTTAGATAAGCCAGTCCTTTATTAGTATATAAGTGCTTTGTTAACCAGATCACAGAACTAACCCTCCCCTCAGTATCATCCTTTGAATTAATTGCCTTCAAAGCCCCTCCCTCACTGACAGTCATCCTCATCTACCGGCCTCCTAAACCTCATCCCTCCTTCCTCTCCGATTTCACTGAATTCCTCACACTTGCCTCATCCCTCTCTCAACGTCTGTTACTACTTGGCGACCTCAACATTCACATTGACTCACCCACCTGCAAGCTGGCATCCGAATTCACAACCCTACTGGACAATTTCTCTATCACCCAACATGTCACCTTCCCCACCCATGACAAAGGACACATTCTTGATCTCGTCTGCTCTACCAACCTCCCAGTGATTGACCTCCACCCTTGCCCATTTCCCCTCTCCGACCACAAACTCATACAATTCACCATTGCCCCCCACACCCGAAACCCCTGCCCACCCAGAAACATCACCTTCCGTAATCTACACTCCATTGACCATAACCATCTCTCCGAACTGCTATCATCTAATCTCTCCCTGGACGCAACCCTCAGCTCACCTGATGATCTGCTCAACCACCTCAACTCCACCCTACTCACCTCCCTCAACACTTTAGCCCCCCTCAAAAATAAAACTGTTACTTTCAAGACCTCCTCACCCTGGTTCACACCCGCACTGCGTAAAATGAAGCAGCGAGGCCGCCAACTTGAACGTCTTTCAAAGAAATCATCCCTCACAGTCCATTACATAAGCTACAAACTCCATCTCAATGCATACAAAGATGCTCTTATTGCCGCTAAATCTGCCTACCTCTCCAACATCTTCATTGACCCCTCCCGTAACCCCAGGACCCTCTTCTCCACAGTTAACAAGCTTTTCAAACCCCGTGCTGATAACCTCCCTACTTCTACTCCCGCTACTTGCAGCTCATTCCTCCAGTTTTTCGCAGACAAAATTAACGCCATTAACCACTCCTTCTCAGCTCCATCTGATATACAAGCATCTCCCCCAACCTCCACCGCTACCACTTCTCCCCCCATCTCCCTTGACCTCCTGACTCCTCCTCCCCAGCGCCGCCTCTCCCAGTTCAACCTGGTGACCCCACTTGAAATACTCCATCTGATCGGTTCCTCAAATCCCACAACCCGCTCCCTTGACCCTCTACCCACTCCTCTTCTGAAGTCCTGCCTCCCCGTCCTCTGCCCCTATCTTGCTAACCTTTTCAACTCCTCGCTGTCCCATGGAACCGTCCCCTCTGCCTTCAAAACTGCTGACGTTACTCCAATCCTCAAAAAACCTGGTCTTGATCCCTCCTCCCTCACTAATTACCGCCCTATCTCCAATCTACCATTCCTCTCAAAAACTCTTGAACGCATTGTAGCCAAACAAATTCACTGCCATCTCCAAACCAACCAGCTTTATGAACCCCTTCAGTCTGGATTTCGTCCTCACCACAGTACAGAAACTGCACTCGTCAAAGTCCTCAATGACCTCCTCACCTCTGCTGACACTGGTTCCCTCAATATTCTCATCCTCCTCGACCTGAGTGCAGCCTTCGATACCGTGAGCCACAACATCCTGCTCACCCGACTCAGGGACATTGGTATTGAAGGTATTGCACTCAGATGGCTCCAGTCCTACCTCACTGAACGATCCCACTTCATCTCCCTCCCAAACCACTCCTCTACCACAGCTTCAGTCAC